AGCAAACAAATGGCAATTTGACTCCTAATTTCCTACTTGATAAAACATGGTTAATAAACGCCCGCTTTCAAAAAGAAGAAAACAAACCAGGCCGCCGCACAGGCTTGTACACACGTCTGCCAATGAAATTGCATTCAAAAGCCACCAGCCAGCAACTTCATGACCTTGTCACACATCTTAAAGTGACACATGGGCTGCACGATTATGACAGCTTCCATGACTACCATCTTTCCCCGAATAATACATATGACCATTATCGCTGTATCTAGACTGAAAGTTGCCCCGAATGCAGAGGCATAATGACCGTACATTCTCTTCGGGGAAAGCCGGTACAGTGTCGATCACAGAGCAGTTCTGAGTCAAAAAGCAACTTGGATGTGCTATGGGGAGGAGGGCCCAAATGTGTTTACTTCACGTTCATTGTGTGGCAAGCATGTAACAACCATGTCACACATGTAGTGCAAGTATGCAAGAAATTGTGTCACACATATGGAAAGCGTGGATTGAACATGTTTACTTACCAGTCATTGTGTGGCAAGCATGTGACAAACATGTCACACATGTAGCACGAGTGTGTACGAAACTGTATCACAGTACGGCAAGCGTTGACCAAGTGCATTACACGGCTGCACGACAAGCGTGTCACAAGACTTACGGATTTCATGCGAGTGTGTGACAACTCTGCAAGAGACTCGACAAACATGTCACACATGCAGCACAAGTCTGTAAGAAACTGTCACACATATGGCAAGCACGGACCAAGTGTCGGTTACAAGATTGATGGGCTAAAGCAGGTGTGTGACAAGTGTGTGAGAAACTTAAACAACTTCATGCAACTGTGCGACAACTCTGCAACAGACACAGGAACTAAAACATGTGCACGACAAGCGTGTGATCAGCTCATCAGTTAAGCCACCACTCCCCACCGCGCTTGCAAACTTGGGGGACCTGTAGCCCTGTTTAGTCAGACCTACTGGCAGTATAGTTTTGTCGATCCGACCGTGGTGGACTCACCGAAAAGCCAGTTCGAGGTTGTCGGTCGGGGCAAGTGGCCGTTTATTGAAGAGTGTGGGCGGTGTGTGTCACAGACTCGGGAGTTGTGGCAAGCAGAGCAGCACTAGACACGTTTACCAAGTAGACTAGTGAAACCGATAGGCAGGGACACAGACAAGCGGAGGACTTTTCTACATAAACATGCCATAGCTGTCCAACACTGCAAGGGCATACTCACACTAGGACTTTTTCTACTAAGCTTTGGACATGATTGCAGTCAGATGATGTAGACTAGTGAAACCAATAGGCAGGTACACAGACAAGCTTTAGGGTTTAGGGTTTAGGGTTTACGGCTTAGGAGTGACGAACTCACACATGCAGGTGACAGAGTCGATTGGCAACGAAGCAAAGCATGCCGTGCACACTATAAGGGCCAGAGGGTTTGCAGCCAGTACATGCCGGTGGACGGAGGGTCAATCAATTTCTTCAGTTTCTCCCCATCTTTAAGACTTCAATTCAACCCCAATCATACACCTTTTCTGACTGGCGGCAGACATGAAAGTGAATCGGGGCTCTATGACAGAGGGCTGGTGGCTCCACCCTCAAGACTTACCTTCCTGCCAGACCCGTGTACCATGGGCACGAAAGGAAGACGCCATCAGGATCTTGGGAATGAGGCTAACAGCAATGGGACCTCCGTCGGACCATGGGAAATCCTGGTGAACACGACCATTGACAGCCTGGCAAGATGGGACGGACTGCACACATCGTTCGTGGGCCAGGCGCTGGCAATCAACAATGCTATCCTCGCGGCCATATGGTACAAACTGGCAGTGTGGCCACTGAAACCAGAGTAATATACCAGGCTGAGAAAGGTGCTCACAACGTATCTGTGGAAAAATAGCGCCAAATCAGAGGGCTGAATGACCAGGGTGAAGGTGAGCTGAGCTGGGACACCCTCACACAACCAAGAGCCAAAGGGGGGCTGGGGAAACTGGACCCCGAAAGGCCATGATTTCCAAGGTGCTAACCAGACTTCTCATAGAAAATGGCATTCCATGGCCCCCCCTGGGCTGTGTGCATGGCACCCAAAGCTGTGCCCCCTAACCGGGCGCACCCCTTTCAATGGTTGACCAACAACCACTGGACAGTCCCGGGCCCCCACACAGGCAAGCGACAGGTGCGGCGCTGGCCACCAGGCAGGACATCCCCCATGATCCCCTCTGGCCATACATGCTAAAACTGAGGAGGAAACGAGGCCCAAACAAAAGTGTCCACCCAATGGGTGGCACTCCATATGGAGACAGCCGCGGTTCGGCAAACCTTTCATCCTGGACGGAGCTGGCAACCCATTTCTGCTCACAGCTAACTCACCCTGGCTCACCTGGGCAAAGAAAGAAATTTACACGGTCGGTGATCTCTGGGGCCCGGTCTAGCAGAACTGGGCCACACCAGAGAAGCTGCAGGCCAAGCTGAAGCATGTAAGGAACGTGGACGAAAAGGCCGCCAAGTGATAAATGCCCTTCCTCTAGCCCTCAAAACCGGCCCGATGATTCGACCACAGGACTGGGTGGTCAGGTACGTTGACCTGCCCGGACCGGCGACGTCAACAGGGTGCACAGCACTGAAGGTGGGAGGTGGACATTGGAAGCCTTTACCCTGCACATTCCAGGAGCGCGGTTCTCTCAACTGGTATGGAATGAAGACTTTGATACCACAGAACCGTGGGCGGCGCTGATAAACGTGAGAGAGGTGAGCGACCGGGACAACGGCTACCATACATACAAGCCTTCCACACCCATTTCCCAACTTCCCTTTGACCTGGACGACTGGGAATGGACGGGCCAACAAACTATGCACATCTGGGATTACACTGTCAAAGGGGGATACAGAGCATCTCGTGTCGAATCACTTTGATAGTAATTGCAGGATCTACTACCGCCCACAGCAGCAGATTGGAAAGACGATTTCACAGAGATAGGAGCGAGATTCACCGGTGAATCCACAGCTGCTGAAGAGATGGGAGCGAGATTCACCGCTGAATCCACAGCTGCTGAACAGCCTCCCTTGGCCCAAGTATTCCAAAACATTGCCCACAAGCCTCAGGTCCTTGCAATGGCAAATCTTACACCGTTGTCTCCCCACCCCCCGATTGGCTCGTCTCAAGGACGGACCTTGAGCAGAAAGGCCTGCTGTCCCCCATCTGAACCTACTGTGGCAGGGTGAACAGCCAGCCAGGGCAACACTCGAGCACTGCCTGTTGGCGTGCCCGATGGTTGCCCAAATATAGAGGTGGTGGGCCGTGGCGTTCCATTCACTCACGAACATCTATACCCCGTGGAACCTGGGCCTCATCCTGCTGGGCAAAAACCAACACTTGCTAGCGCAGTGGACTCCATTTGCCACTAACCTCTTCTCGTATACGAGGCTACACGTCCTCATGCAAGCCTGGAGAGCTAGGTGCTCATTTGAGAGAAAAGACCATCAGTTCCGTCTGCAGCAAGCACAACAGGCGATAGAAGAAAAGATCAGGTCCCGCACACAACATGCCTGGAAGACTATGAAACAGGACTATCAGGCTTTGCGGAAGTCCTACTGCCAAATCTGTCAGGATCCGCACCATGCCCTCTCCAAACTGCTAGATGGCCTCAACATACGATGGAAAAACTGGAGGGCGGACGAACCCTCGTGGCAAAGGAGACCCCTATATGACTTTGCAGTCCCGTACCTCCCGACCAACTTTCTGTTGGTCCCTCAGAAACCCCATCATACAATGGCCCCTGCCCCCGCCCTACAGTAACCCCCTCCCGCCTCCCTCCTGCTACACTTGCCAGCATCTCCTTTGCCTCCCTTCCGCCCCCTGATCCCCTACCATCCCGCCATCTCTACCGCCGCTGCAGACGATGGGGACAACTGGACGCCTTGAGGCCACTGAGGTGAGCAACCGGTAACAGGACAAGAGAGACAATTGACACATGGGCATTGGACAGACAGCATGTGAGAGTACAATATGTGCAAAAGCTGCATCCTTGACTCACTTATGAACTCAGAGACTTCCTGCTGCTGGCTCTATCCGGGGAACAGTGCTCAGACCGACCACGGGAGAGGACAGGGAACCTTCTTCCCTAAGGGGTTCATCTAATGTGAATGTGGATATGGGCAAAACCTGTAAAATCTACAACTCCGGCTCTTTTATAATGCTGTGAAGGGACGCTGGACCTGGTTACCAGCAGGTGCAGCTCCCCACCGACGGAACGGAGCCATCCAATAATGGGGCCTGTAGAATGGGTCTGCTCTTACCAGCACCCCTTCTACCCCCGTCGTTAATGTTTTCTTTAAAATGTTTTCTTCAAAAAAAAAAAAAGAAAAAAAAAAAAGGGACTTTCAATTCCACATCTAACTGGCAGAGTAAGGGTCATGATGGCAACGAACTGGAGCACATACCCATAAGCCCAATACCTCAACTCCGCAACCCAGCACCCACAAGGCAAGTCGTCGTAAGCCCGTAAGAGCCGTAATCACCAAAAATGCAGGAACAAGCCAAGGTTCATGCAGGCAACAATGCACAGTCAATCCGTCTGTCCCCTCCCTTGGAGATTTACAGACGAGAGAGAGAGAGAGAGAGAGAGAGAGAGAGAGAGAGAGAGAGAGAGAGAGAGAGAGAGAGAGAGTTACCAGCAACACTGTCACGATTACAGCACGGATGAGTGCGGCTGGGAGCTTAACTGCTGACTTCTTTTCCCTGTTTGTTCTCCACTGCTGGGGCAACAAGAACACAGAGTTCTGCCTACTGCTAACCTAGAGGAACGACCTCTCATCCTGATATAGTGAACAGCAGGAGGAACACAATGTGCAGGTACCATGCTCGAGACCCAAGAGGAACACCATGGGGAACAGTAGATAGCATTATCCCATGCTCAAGGCCCAAGAACCATCTTCAAGCATGGGCAGGTTGTGGGCAGGCCGATATGGACACGCCAACCCCTCACTGCAGAAATCAGATTATCAAGGTGTCCCCACTTTTACTTCATCCTTTACACAAGTTTACAGAAAAAAAAGGGGGGCCTTTATTTTTTCTGCTGATCAATCTGCTGAAGCCTGAAAGTGAAATGCTGCATGACATGGCCCCGGATACGTATAGAAGCACAACCACTTTGTGCTACCATATGTGCACCACCCGCGGCTGGCGAGTATGGCATAAGCGGCCAGCTCCGTGACCTTTACGGTTCCCACGAAATGGGACTGAAAAATCATTTCCTCAGGGGGAACAAAGCTCAATTCGGCCAGCTCAATGACCTTTACGATGCCTGCGAAAGGGGACTGAAAAATCATTTCCTCGGGGGGACAGAGGTTGATTCGGCCAGCTCCTTGACTTTATGCGGTGCCGGTGAAATGGGACTGAAAAATCATTTCCTTGAGGGGGACAGATGTCGATTCGGCCAGCTCCTTGATCTTATACGGTGCTGGTGAAATGGGACTGAAAAAAACATTTCGAGAGGGCGGACAGAGGTCGATTCAGGCAGCACCCTTTAGCTTTACGGTCCCAGTGAAATGGGACTGAAAAACCATTTCCAGAGAGGGGGACACCATTAATGCTCGAGGAGACTTCAATGAGAACGAGTAGAATTCAGGGAAGTGGAAGATCAGCTAGATGACGGGACTTCCTTGTGGCAGGAAAGAGGGTAGCAGACCTGCTATGCACGCTCAGAAGGTGTTGTTGGTTGCCTCAACTGATGGACGAAATCCGCGGCCAGGACGATGAAGTAGGAGACGCGGATATTCCCAGCTTAAGCAGATCGACCAAACATCTGCGACAAGTTGCCGACAACCGTTAACAGAAACAGAGAGCTATAAGCAAAGGCCAGCGACTACGATATGACCTGGGATGAAGGCTGTCAGACGACCCCTTTGATCACGAGGACGACTTGGCGTGATGCATAGTCCATTGAAGAAGACAAAGACGGTTGGCTTTTCGATGCGGTTGGATGGCTGTGGAATTGCACTGACCATAAAGAATTGGAGGAAAGACAGTTGCAGCCTCAACGATATTACAAAAATCATTGCATGCAAATGACATGACAGTTTGATGCTCTCATAAACATCTCAATCATACGCAACATACTTGGGATGAGCAGATGACCGAGCACTGAAGGTCACATGCATGATGTAGACTTCTGGAACAGGGTCGGATTATTGACATACTTGAGGTTTGAGGCATGCGCGTCGAGGACGACTGCCACTTTGGAGAGGTTAAAAGGTGCAGAGATCGGCACTACTTTACAATCCCACAAACATCCCCATGATGACAGGCAGTATTGAAATAACCAGCCAACCAAGCGCGAAACATGCCTCCGCTCGTTGAGCGGATCGTGCACGCCAGTGGGCTACGCAGCACTGCTGGAACGCTACCGATTGCAGACATGATGGCGGGTACTGCCAGGCAGACTTGAAATAACCGGCCAACCAGGCGCTTGACATGGCTCTCCTCATTCAGTGGATTGTGCATGCCATCGAGAGCGCCGTGCAGTGCTCCCGGAACGCAACTGATTGCAGACATCATGAGCGGTACTGGCAGGTGGACTGACAACCAAGCACTTAACATGGCTCTGCTCATTCAGGGGAATGCACAGTGCCCTGGAGCATGACCTACCACAGACATGATGTGCCATAAAGTTGGGGGCATAACTTTGTCCGTAAGGGTAGACGTTCACAGCATCAGTGCTTCTTCGCAGAGATCGGGATGAAGAGCGTGCAGGTTGGTAATTGCCCCTTGTTGAATATCTGTTGAGCAGATGCACAAGAAATGTAGCTGTGTGTAGTGTCAGGAGCCGTCTTCTCCTTCGCCCTCGTTTGACCGCTGGTTTGGCGGTCCATCTTCGTTATCGGAGATATCGCTCTCTGGGACAGCAAGCAAGAGTTGTGCCGCTGGACCGGCATAATACTGATGATCCTGAGTCCGGGACCATGCCTGGGTTCTTCCCATTATATCAGTTGCGTCTCGTAGACTTGTGGCACCACCCTCTGTATCATCATCGTCGTCCCCGGCATCGTCCACCATCCACGGCTCTGTCTCACTAGAGGAGGCCGTCCCACTTTCGGATGAACTAGAGCTTTCCATAGAGACGGTATAGTCACTGTCTTCGTCAAATTCCTCGTCATATTCATCACACAGTCGTCCAAGATTGACGTGAAGGAATCCTGCCTGGTCTTCCATCCCGCTTGCGTCATCATCCTCGGGATTATTACGATGGTCTAGTCGATTGCTAGCATTTGCATAACCACTAGCATCATTACCTCCTTCATCATCGTCGTCGTCCTCATCCTCATCATCCTCTTCCTCATCATCCTCTCCATCTTCGTCGTCGTCCTCGTCATCTTCAGAGGTCGCCAAACTCATATCACTGCTGCCAAAAATATGAAGCAGGTCTTCTTCATCATTGTTGTCATAATCATCGTAATTGCCCCCTTCATCGCTGACAGGGGAGCTAGTCATGTGTGTCAAGTCGCTGCAGCTGCGAGTTCAGCACACAGACAACCCAGAGTCCAAAGGTACACACTTTTCAGCACAAAGTGAGCAGCCCTGCCACAGCAGAACACTGCACTCAAATGAAATTACAATTCACTTGCAGGAAATCTATACGTAAGCGTCACGAGCACACACTGACTGCCCTCCAGATGACAGTGTTGGGTTCTTAAAGCTGAATACCGCATCCACCCTGTGCCGTGCCAGGTAAACACGCCTATTAAGACGCAACAAGAACTGTCGAAGGCGTACTTTTTCATTTGGCCAACCCTGTAATGAATTGATTCGGCGATTTCGAACCTCAATAGCCGGACATGTGGATCGGGCTGCATGATGTTGACAGGGATACCAAGGAGATCATTCACCCTTAAGACCTTCTAAAGATTTCACTGTTGAGATTTCAAATGTAAATTTGTTCGATATCATTGGCGATGGGGGAAAAAAAACTTCGCAAAAGCTTTATCCACAGCAACTCGAGCAATAGTCAGCGGATCTGGGCAGGTGTCAGGTGAGGGTTATGTAGAAGTGGAGTACCACAGCATACAAGGTTCATGAAACAGATCTAAAAGAGTTTTACAAACGAAAGAACGTGTCCTTGAAAAAAAGAAAGAAAGAAAAAAAAACTTGGCTGTCATGGGGGACCGGCGACCCCTCCACTGGAGCCAGCCAACTGGTCGACGCAATCGGCTGGCCAAAAGTCGAGCAACTACGGGCTGCTGACCGTCACCCATGCTACTCTGACGGCAAGAGAATCTGACAGAGAGCAAAGTCATTGTTTCCAGAAAGCCTACTGCAACTTGGGACAGGAACTCGGGGCTGGGACTGGGACTCGGGACTGGGAATGAAACTGAGGACTGTGACGGGGGCTGGGACCAAGGCTGCATTCATGATCACACACTCACCTGATATCATGGGAGTCGATGGATATGCGAAGAATTGGGTGCTCAGCTCGGAGGTGATCAACCAATTTCTGGAAGCTGTTTCAAAAGCACCAGAACATCGAAACACCAGTCTGTTGCTGTTAGCTTACTGCCCACATCCGTACATGTTGACCATTGTTTGCAAAAATGCAAACCTTGCAAAAATGAAATGATGGCGGATCACAAGCAGCCGAACATTGAAATACCGTGGTCTACCCGTTATCTCATCAGCCCACAAACTGTACTTGGAACACTGTCCAGAGAATACAAATCGATCGCCATTCGCAGAACGCAAATCTTGCAAAAATCAAATGACAGTGGGCAATTTCTGCAAGGTGAACACTAAATGGTTTCCTTGCTGCCGGGAAAACAGTCCCCGGACCTTCATATCACGGGACATGAGCACAACCCAAAGTGTTTGCAAGCCCAGAAACGCTGTGTGACAGCTAAAATGAACGGCAACAGTGGAGAAGGTTACTCCCACAGTGTAGAAATTTTGCATAACTACATCCAAGCACAGGCGAGTTGTGTGACAACTAAAATGAAGGGGAAGGGTGGACAAGGCCACTCCACACACACACACGCACACACACACACACACACACAGAGAGAGAGAGAGAGAGAGAGAGAGAGAGAGAGAGAGAGAGAGANAGAGAGAGAGAGAGAGAGAGAGAGAGAGAGAGAGAGAGAGAGAGAGAGAGAGAGAGAGAAAGAAATGGGCACAATAATGGTAGGGGCTATCCCACAAGAAGAAAAGAGGAAAAGAAGGTTACCTCTTATTTTGAAATTCGAACAGAATTCTAGATTGCCATCACCAAGACATTGAACCACCTCTTCCTCCTTCCTTGTCCCCTTCTTCCTTCGTCTTTTCTTCTCTCCATCTTCTTCTAATCATTCTTCTAATCATTCTGTATCCACTTCTTCTTCTTCTTCTTCTTCTTCCCCCCCCTCCCTCCTCCTGTACACTGCTTGCAATCCTTCTCAGTTCTCTCTTCTTCTTGCTACCTCTTCATTTTCAATTTTTTTTTTTAATCCTTGCACAAGGGCCACACTTTTCTTCTCTGTATCATTCCAATTCTAACCGATGTCACGGAGCATGCACCTTTTTGGTCCCTCTAAATTTATTTCAAAGGGGCGCCACGTGTCATCGTTGCCCATTTACCAACTCACCTCGGTTGTCGTGACATCCATTCTGCGCTAGCCAATCCTGTCATCCCACCAGCATTGGAAAAATCCTGTGGAAATTTACAATCAGACGCTCTCGAGTCGGTCAAAACTTGACACCAACTAAAGGACGATTGAAATAGTTGGGGTCAGAAAAATAAGCCCAACTCCACAGCAGAAAACTCGAAAGTGAAAAGAAAAGTTCTGACACTTGAGCTTTCAAAAGGGAAGAAAATTCAAGAAATCATTGAGGAAAAAAAAACAGGGGTGTAGCAGTGGTACATCCTCCCCCCAAAAAGGGCGGAGCAGTGGTAAATCCTCCCGACTGACTACAGTTTTCATCCAAATAGAACACGTGGTCATTATAGCTGTATTTGGGGCAACTTCCAGTCCACATACATCGACAATTACCGGGCGTTCTATCCGGGTGAAGACGGTAGTAATCAATGCCGTTGTCTCAGGTTCTCAAGGCCCTAACGAGCCGAAGCGCAGAGTGAGTACATTTTGATGTAAGGGATGCTGGAACAAGTTTACAGCATTGTTAATCGTGATTGAAAAAGGAAAAGAAAAGTAAACACCAATTGTCATTGCCTCGAACTAACACCTACGGACTAAAGTAACAAATAGGATAAAAGAGGGCCGAAGGGCCGACCAATTTGGTCGTCTTTCGAAATCGACCGACCGGAGCTGCAATGCTCTACACGACAAGTCCTGCAAAATCCTGCGTAACGCGGCCCGGAGGGTCCCCCTTGCGGGACCAATGCCCTCGACAGGTTATGGTTACCCCATAATACGCCATCCTTGCGACTGCTTGCGTATTCATGCATGGCTTGTCTATATGATAAAATCTATGTCGCCGCGATTTTTATTTCAAGAGCCTCGCGCGCGACACCCACCTAATTCTTTCGCCGGAAGTTACGGGTCGGATGTGGAAAAAGGGACTGGCGCGATTTACGTACGAAGTTTGATTTTAATTCCGTGAGATATATCGTGTGGTTATAGATTTGCATGACATCCTGGACTTATTCTCTGCGTAAATGGCAACAAGTGGTGCAAGCAATCTTCCAACTACAGTTTTTTTTTTCTTTTTTCCCCCTCCCTTTTAAAGAAGGGTGATGGCCTTGAGATACCATCATCGAACCGACCGGCCCGGGGTTATTCAGAATTCTAGTATTTTACTATGTTGGACCGTCGCCCGCCCTGGCCAGGCACGCCCGAGCCAGTTGGGCAGAGGGGGAACCGCCCGGCAAAACCAGACGGGTAAAAAAAGAGGCAAGGATCCCCCCCCCAACAAAAAAGACTTCAGGCCAGGACTGCACTTGGCCTAAGCAGTCAGAATCCGGTCTTAACTTCGGTTTTGGTGATGGGTCATCCAGGGGGGGTGGGGGGTATAAACAGTGACTAAAGGGGTTAAAAGGGTACATCTGGACTCATGTTTTCTCATGTATTTTTATCTTTAAATCAACAAGGAATTTCGAGGTGGCCCTCAGCCAAAAGTCATTTGTAACTTTGTATTGCAATTTTACACAACATTTTTTTTTTCCGATTTTTTTTTTTCTTTTTTTTTAATATTATGCGCTGGGATTGCCCGGGACCCGGCCCGGTCCCTGCCCGGCCCGGGCTGCCCAGGGGCTAACACAGGTATTTTACTCATCCGGCAGAGTTCGAACTCAGGTCTATATTTCAACAGTTCAGGGGTGGTTTCAAGTCGATCTATACAGTCCCAGCAAGGCAGGAGCACAGAGGAATCTACAAAGAAAGCGGCTATCTGGCCATCAAGCACCCTAAACAAGGGGTAATCAAGGCTCAGCTGTGTTTCTCCATGTCCCTTGTTCAGTCACACCCTTCCTCTCACACATCCTGAACCCTGACTCTTCCCCACCGTCCCTCCTCCCCTATGTCCAACCTGACTCCTCCCCTTAGGACACTGCAAAAACAAACACGCAAACAAACTTTGAAAGACGCAAGAGCTAAGACAGCGTGAAGGATAAAATATCCACTGACTGGTTTGTGATGAACACGTCTTATGATATTATTACATACCAGGTGGCGCAGACATTTGCAGTCTCCACTTAACAGAGCAGCCAAGAACTGTTCCACTTGAATCTGCACAAAGGGTTTCAGTCACACACACACACACACACACACACACACACACACACACACACACAACCTCCTGCTGAGTCACTGAAAGTCCGACAAAACAGTCTGGCACAGTCATGCTTATTTGCTTATTTGGTGGAGTTGTGTATAGCGAACATGACAACACACACACACACACACACACACACACACACACACACACACACACAAACAAACACACCCAGGAGGTTCATGACATGACCTTGCTCAGGCCTCCAGATATCGGACCTTTTCCATCAACACCAAGTTGCTGTCTGTGTTTCAATTTTCCTTTCTCTCTCCCCACCAAAGGGTGTGCCATGATATGCCACAGCGACATTCATCATGCTCAGCATTGTCTGGTACATCGTGCTCACAAGCCCCGGGAAAAGAAAAGAAAATCATCACCATCTTTGCGATTGTTAAATCATAAGTTTACATCATCGTCATTGCATTCATCATCACCATCATCGTCATGATGCAATCCATCATGATAATGATCTTCCTCATCTGTACCAACAGCAGCAGCTCCTGTTAATCATTACCATATCCATATGTTGATCATTACCATATCAATATGTCTCACCATTAGACAAGAAGAAATCCTCCTGTGGGACTGCAGCAAATACGAAAAGCACCTGTGAAGCACACTCATGTGCCAATACTCTTTGTTTTCTCTTTTCCACCCCAAAAATTGGACCATTTCTTGATTTACTCGTGTCATTGTTATGCAGGGGCTATGACAATCTTCTCTGTATCACTCATGTCCGGAAGGACGACGCTGGGGGCAATTCTGGAACCAACCCTCGCCTAATCCTTGTATGCACGTCTTTCTGGAGGGCAACTGAAGCGTCTGTGATGTCCGGCCCACAAACCCTTCTGACTGAGGGGCTCATGGCTCCAGAAGAACAGAGATATGAGCCCGGGTTCCTCATGTGAGCCCTAATAATCTCCGAGTTCGCAACTGGGATTTTTAGGAATGCCTGTACCTGACCTAACCACACCCTCTTTGAAAGCCAACCACCCATACCCACTGTATACCTGGGTCCACCTTAAAAAAAAAAAAAAAGTATACCCAGACCTACCTTACCTGAACCTCTTCAGCACGTAACCGGCCATACCTACCCATGAACAATTTTTTTCAAAACCACCTATGGCCACCTGAACCCAAACCGTTTGTTAACCACCCATACCCTACCCTACCCACGTTTTCTTTACCTGTACTCACCCGTACCTACCCATAATTGTATGCACCCACCCGAAAGGGCCGTAACCACCCGTGCTCGTCACCCACCCTCCCCTAACCGCCGATAACCGCCCCTGACTGTCCCTAACTGCCCCAAACTGTCCCTAACCGCCCCTAACTGTCTCTAACTGTCCCTAACAGCCCCTAACCTTTTTTTTTTTTTAAACGCCCCAAACCGCCCCTCATTGTCCTTAACTGCCCTCAACTGTCCCCAAACCCACGGAAGTCACAGGATTGACATGGTAATTTTTATTATTCTTAAATTATTATTTTATTTTATTGTTTTTGAGATGTGGCAGCTGCTGCAGCTACTGCCGCAACAGCAACAGTTGTTACATCTGGTCACTCATGCTGGTATGGATGCATCTGGTGCTACAGCAGCCTATGCAACCTGTATAGCATCTGCCAATGCAACAACCCTCGGTCTGTCGCACACACGTACACTCTCACACACAACACACACACACACACACACACACACACACACACACACACACACATAAATATTACATACACAGGGTTACTGTGGCATACTGCGTAGCCACACGGGCCCTGTAGGACCCATCCCGGACATTCAGCCCAAAAGCCTAAGACTTAGGAGCTACAGGCCCCGGTCGTTTCAGCCTGAAAACTGAAAAGCGAGGGCCTGCAGGCCCTACTCCGTTTCAGCCTATTTCTGGGTCTTTAACCCAGAGTTTTTCCAGCCTGAAACGGAGTGCTATTCTTAGGCCCTGGGCTATTTTTAGGCCCTCATTTGTTTCGACCTGCCCTAAGATTCAGGCACGAAAACTGGGTTTCGGAACAGGCTA